TCAACGTAGGTTATTGTCACATTCCTCGGACACAATTTTTTAGCACTAGTCAATGAGACCTGTCCAGAAAACTTTGGATCAAGATACTTCTTCTCCCTACAGGTGAAGACGATATCTTTCGGAAAGACTATGGTCGGCTCCTCTGGGGTATCTATCGTTACACGCTGGATGCCCGTGACAGAATTACCACAAGAATCTGTAATAATCCACTCTCGGTCGGTTATGCGCCCACACGCCCTGTTTTTCACAATATTATCCAAGTGTGAGATTTTAGCTTCCCCACGAGCCCTACATACGCCGTGAGCTGAGCCCGATGCAGTACCTGTATTGAACACACCAGATGATCTATTGCATAAGGTTGTCACGAAATTTTTGGGCGTGGTTAATGTAGGCACTGGCGTGACTAAGTCTTCATCAACCCTACCATCTTTATCATCGTCAACTCCATTCTTTAATTCTTCATCAGTGCGACCATCGCAATCATTATCAATGTTGTCTCCGCCCACAGTGTTTGTTAGCTTACAAGTACGGTTCAGTGACTGCAGTTGCAGTTCCATCCCAGCCGGTATAGCAAACAACATTCCATTGCGATTCGTTCCGTAAAAAACTGCAGAAAATGTTGTCAGCGGGTTTTCATGGTACACATGATAGGAACCATCACTGGTCAAATGAATCGAAGCTCTTGAGTACCCTCCAGAGCCAGGAATTACGGTCCAGTTCTTGACAATGCTGTCTGCACCCTTCACGCGAAGACCGCTTCGTGAAGTAGTTTCAATAACGACATTTACATAGCAGTCAAAAGTGTTTCCTTGATCATCTTGAGGAACATAAACTGTGTAGTCGTTAGTGAAATACTGCTCCGGAGGTACTACATTCATGGAAGGGCTTTTTCCTGCTTTGGAGTATTGCATCACAAGACTCGGTTGAGTAGTTCTGATCACCGAGGACTTGTTCCATGATACATCGATCTTATATTTCTCTCCTTTGTCTAACGTCACTTTGTATTGAGAATCCACATAAACTGCTGTATTTTGAGACGCTATTATATGAAATTCGTCTCCCCCCGGGTTGTTAGGCGTGGGGTTGGTAACAAAAAATTTCCCCCAGAGGGATACAGGGGGCATCTGCTCCACGAGGTGATTGCATGGTTGTTTATTTTCAGGCACCATGGTGCAGTCATCCCCAGTAAATACTGCAACTGGCTTTGTCGACTCTATAATGGTGCCTGTGAGATCCTGATCAGCCAGAACTTGAAACACGTCTAAATCATTTAAAGTTTCGCTTATGACCTGACGGTCTCCATACCACTTATCCTGATACTGTACTCTACCGCTCGTTCGCAATGTAATCGTGACAGTGGTGTTATCCTCTGTCGCTACGACCTGAATAACAGCATTGATCACGGGGTGATATGCTGCTGCTATGTAAAACATACCAAGAGCATCCACAGGCAACCCAAGAAACCCTTCCACTTTTTGGGCCGCATTTGCTAATCCCTGCACAGACATGGGTTTATCGGCCGTGATTCGGATACCTTTTTTTTTCTCCAGTCCTGAATTGCCATTCGTGCGTGTATTCCCAGACAGTTGAACTATTGTTAAACCTCCAGCTGACAAGGCGTACGACTTCTCTGGAAAGTTCGTGAGAGAAGGCACGTGGACACGAACCGTGCCATCTTCAAAGCTGGATATGTATAGTATATTGTTTCCAGAAAAAGGATGCCTCGGATGTTGAGGCGAGAAGCTCAAGACGAACTCTTTACCTCTGTAATCAACTGAGTCTGAAAGAGAACAGAAACAAGGACAATTTTATCAACCCTTCTGGATAACGAATGGAAATTATAGGAAGAAGTTACATGTTTATCACTTCCGGAAGTTATAGTGTGAAAGCCAGCCGGGCATGGTAGCACGGGTATTTTTTCCATGTAAGAACAGTCTTCTTATGACAAATGTTTGCCACAAAACATTTAAGAAGAGTTAACTTCGCTCTCCAACGACAGGACCGTTTATTTCAGGCCCAATTGTGATCGCTGCCTCCCCGCAACCCTTAACAATCTAACATTAGTATAGATAATAATGACTGGAAATATATGAACATCATATACGTGCACTGAAGTAGAAGAAACGAATATAAGCGATCCTCGTAGTTATGAACAGTACTGAACTAGTGGTTGAAATAATTAGTAAGGATATTCTCTGTAGTGCTCTGATACATTCCTTATGACTCTGACAAGGAGAATTTGTTTAACAATCAAGAGGTTTTATTGTTAGCAATCGTTTCAGTGATACAGTAAGACGAAATAAGATCCTGGCCAATGGTCATTATTGGGTTAAAGAACTGATTTCCTCTTCAGTTATGAGCTGTGTTCTGATTAATTCACAGACCTGTTCCTCGGTACCGACCTAGATTAACCCCTTGAATTGAGTTGTTTACACCTTAAAAACAGTATGCATATTCTCCATACTGTTCTTAGCGCATTTCCTAAGGTACTGGCAAGGAGAATTTGGTTTACAATCAAGAGCTTTGTCAGTGATCACTTAATTTATTCTCGTAACATTGAGGTGTGATTAAGAGGTGTTATTGTAAGGAGAAATTAGATGCAGGTCACGCTTCTAGGTTAAGAGGTTAAGTAGTAGTGCTGAAAGTTGTCGGTAAACGTCCCTTAGATAAATATTCACAAGCAAGGTTCACACTTGTAGATTATCCTCTTAAAATCTCAATAATGTCTCAACTACACTCAGCCCAAAGCCCTTCGTTTTGCGTCGTTTCCAGCCATCGTTAAATATTCTCTCTCTCTCCCTCTCTGTTGATATTGGCAAAGATTCTCGAGAGTTCAATTTCTCTGAACCCTTTCCCGGTGCTGATATTGGCCGCGTCGAATTTCACTTTGCGACGAGTACTTCTTGGTAAACAATAATCAAAAGGTCTTACGATATAGTGCTTTGCCTGCTTTGCCAATATATTTCATTTTTCCATTGATTTATGGAGAAGCATCAACTTTTCGTAAAATCACTTGTTTAAAGCGGGCATCTTTTGACTAATTTTGATCAAATTTAAATCTTAACAAATCTTTCGTATTGCTGCAGCTTATTTCCTCTCAACCCATTTTGGGATCGAAAAGTGTATTTCATGATACCAAGCTACAGAATCTCATGTATTGGAAGGCAAATCGGGCAGAATCTGAGTTGATCAACTACGTAGCTAGAAAAGAGCATTACATCAGGAACGAAATAAAGGAAGTCATAAGAAGAACAAAGAAAGATGAAGGCTTTTAAGGCTGGCTATTTTATACGATTAACATTTTCAACAAAAAGAGTTGCTTTCCGATCTCTCACGTCTTCGTTGTTTGTAAGATCTATGAACTCACCAGACCGTGGTAACCTTATGATAACACTGAATAATAAACCGTTGAAATCCACTGACACATCCTTGAATTACGTGCAAAGTTTAAAGATCTAATGACTTTTTTGTGCTGAAATTCTGAGATTGTTCGAAGATTTAGAGGGAAAATATTGCGTGTAAGAAAACCGAAGTCAAACATATCAATAACAGTTTAATGTGCAAGTATTCTGTACCTTTCCTTCAACATCACAAACAAATTTGCTCGCTAGAGACTATAAATAGATGTTACATACCGTATGTCAAATGAAGGAATGCACATCTCTGTTGAACATGTTTCCGAGCTCAGAAAAATTGAGCAGATTAACATCAAAGTTGGCATAAATCGAACCATTTGATGATGAATTTTAAACAAAAGTTCACTTCAATTTAAATGATCAGCAACTTCGTTAATTCCAAGATAAACTCGAGCTGAAGCTAGTACAATCACAATCATTCATGTAGACACTTTGGGTCATTCATCTAATTTTGAGCTAGGATCATTTTACTATCACTTAAAGAGCTTTCATCCGTAGTTCTAAGTTTCAATAACGCTGAGCGTTCCATTTTACACAAAAGAACAACAGCAGTAGCCCAAACCCCTCGAAGAGCTTCAAAGGAACATTGCATGGTTCACAGCTTTACAAATTTATGCGTACTTGGCACGATTCACTCACTGATCGAAGACGACTGAAGTCGATTTTCGATTCTGTCACGATTTCACAGCAAATATTAGTTTTCAAATATAAGTTTATCTTTGCTTATTAACAGGATCGTTCAATTTTAGTATACGCTTTGAGTGCTAACATCTAAAGTTACACATTATTCGATGTCGCAAGAACTCACCTTGAAAGCTGCTTCGAGCGGCGAGCACGAAAAGAAGTCCGACTGAATAAATATTTGTTGCCATTATTTCGTTCGATCTAGGTGTGGAAGGAACCTTGGAAAAACTAAAGAAAATCAAGATGATTGCGTCCGCTCAAGATACAGGAAACCCATTAAAGTAGAGGTGTTTTCGCTACACCGGATATGACGATTAAGTCTCACACCTCAGTCACCGGAAGTAAGAGGAGAGGACTCGACTCAGCAGAGATTTAGAGAGCTGTCAATAAAGATATTGTTTTAATTCTTTTGAGGAAAAGTGCCAAGAAAACCAGGATAACTGAGTCAAGTTCTTTTTTTATTGGATTTGATGTCATGCAACCTTGACTTGAAAAAATCCGTGCCGTGACCCACATCTCAAAACAGGACAAAACGCGAGAAATATCATAGAGAATCTAATTAAATTAAATAGGCGTTCTGTGGAAAGCGTAATTGACATAACCTCCTACGCTCGCGCTCAAGGAATGTTTCAAAATGTCACGTAACTCCATGGAAAATTTTCTTGTCCCCAGAATCACTCGTTTTCATTCATGAGGACTCTGGGAACGAGAATACTTGCAAGAATGTAAGGAATGTGAAATTTGGACCAACAAGATGGCGGCCAGAGAGGGAAAAGAGGTTCACCCTTCTCAAATTAAAAATAAGTAAAGACGGAGTTCTCTCTACCAGAAACAAAAGTTCAAGAAAGCAAAAGAAGAAAGGGATAGAAAACGTAAACAAAAACAGAAGCAATCGCAGGAAGAAGGAGAGGTAGGGCTATAAAAACATGTAAACAGAACTGCACGTGGATCCATATCCTAATGAAAAACTGGGATAACCACATGCTTTGAGGAGGTACACAGGGTTTCTCCTTGACTTACATTATTCTTATCACTTAATTTATTTATAATGAAAGTGAAAGTGTGATAGCAATAGCTTATTATTGTGTTTGAATCAAAACATGCATGCAGTGACATGGTCTGTTATTGACTTCAAAGTGTGTGTTTCAAATAAGATGCTTAAGATGATTGCTGTGTTGTTGTTATTGCAGTATTTAGAGTGATTGTTTGAATGGTACAAGTAAATGGCATGTGCTTCCAACGACATTTGTCCTAATATAGAATCATACATGTAACCTCTCACCATGGTTTAAATGTGTTTTGTTTGCTGCTTGGCCAAAAAATGAAGTTTAGAACTGTTGAATATAACTATGTAAAATGATAAACTGTATCCTGGACAGATGCACAGACAATAACACCATGAACAACATGTTGCTTTTTATCATATAAAACAAATATTTCCATGTTGTCATGGGTCTGTTCATTAACATCAGTGGCACACCCTTGTGTGCCACTTTTTTGTTCTAACCACTTCACAGACATCATCTGTGACTTATTAATGAACAGACACACAGCTGTTAAGCTGATTCTCGGATGTTCTAAACTGGCTCTAATTGGATGTCAAACAAAGAACATCAGAGAGTATTAGCAGTATTAACGCATTCAAACAGAACTATTGTAATTTAATAAAGGAAGGTTATGCTGGCTTAAATAGCTTTCCCATTTCATGATTTTTTAAATCGTCTGACCCCTTTGTAATATTATATTTAAATATTAAGCCTTTGTAGCTGCATGAAGTAAGATATCACCTTGATGAACCACTCAATGCTTTTAAAGTTCATTTTTTTTATCTTTTTTAAATGAAAACAAAACATGTTTCAGATGAAACATCATCCATTGTCAGTTTGTATAATGAGAAATAAAATGTATCAAAAATGCACTATTTATGGTATAATTTTATTTTATATCTCATTATACAACTGACGATGGATGATCTTTCATCCAAAACATTTTTCATTAAAAAATAGATATAAAAAAAGAATTTAACATTTAAATTTAACATTTTAACTTCAATTTAACTTAACATTGAAACATTTACTATTACATTTACTGTGTTTTTTTTGTTTTTTTATAATTTTTAACTTAGCTTTGTTAATATTTATAAATTACTTTTATATCTTAGGGGAGGGCCAAAAGTTTACCAGTTCTTAACAGTAATGTTTCACCCTTGGTAAATAAAGTTGTTCATTTATTCATTCAGAAATGGGAAGGAGGAAGTTAAAAGAAGTAGGATCAAAAAAGTGGCACACAAGACTGGTTCATGAAAACTGATCCGTCCGTTTGGCCATGATGCTAGTAGCTTTATGACTAGAGGTTAGAGAAGCTTACCTTGACAAAGGACACCGTCCCCAATGAATCCTTTAAGGCAAGAACAGTTATATGAACCTACAGTGTTGGTACATTTAGCCTTTTTGTGACAGTTGTTGAGATCAGGTGCTTGGCACTCATCAAAGTCTGTTTTAAGATGAAAATTTGATTATTGGGGAAGAGTAAATAACTAAATAGAACATTAAAGGGAAGGTAAAGGAACGAATTTTGAGACTGATTGCCCTTTTACCCTTTCACTCTCTCAAGATATCATTATTTATTGTCCTTACTGTCTGCCATATCATTCTCACAAAGGTTTTTTTT